AAAAAAAAAAAAAAAGCGGACTGTTGTCTCATATTTGACCAGTCTTAACTACAACTAATAGTATCTAAACAGTCTTTGGCAAAAAAAATCCTTGAAAAAATAAAAAGGCTGAGTTACATAGAAATGATGGAATTTCAAATAGTTTGAGAAAATAGAGAATTAGCGAGTCCCATATATATATATGGATTGCGGAAGATGTTACGGTTTCGTTATGAAATTATTTTGTCGCAGTTTGTAACTGTTAGATCAGTTATTCTAGGTACATGATGATCTACCGATTACAAACTCTGATTGAATAGTTCCATAACGAGATCGTAATAATTTCATTCATTGGACACTAATTTGAATTTTTGAGTGACCAAAAAAGGAGATAAAATTGTATTTTTCAATAGAAATTTGGCCTCACAACTCACATGGAGGACAAAGAAGCAAAGACTCGGGCTTTAACCTTTACTTGGATGCCTGGGGATCCGTTTTGAACATCATTTTGAAGCAACAAAAATTCCTCATAACATCATTAAAAAAAAAAAAAAAAAAAAAAAAAAAAACAAGATAAAAAAAAAGCTAAAGACGATCACTTTTCCCAATTCCCATGAGGAATATATGTCCTCTTTTTCTATGTCACTCATTAACACGAACTAAAATTTTATAGCTGATCGAACTTGAGCTCGGCTCGAAAAAAAAGTAAAAAATACTTAAAGATTGACTAAAATGTTAATTAGAAAAATGTCAATTTAAATTTTGCGTATACTCCAACATTCGAACATACAAACTACGTACAAACTACAAGCTTGAACTTAAGTTCGAATTCTCTATCTCGACTCGAGCGAAATTGAACTGTTGCACTCGCGAACTACTCGATTCTTTCAATCAACTCCTATTTATTGCCTTTACCATCACCACTTGGAACATTTGTTGCTTCTCATTTATGATCACAAATCTTCACATATTTTTTTTTTTTTTTTTTTATCTCTCTCTCTTTTCCTTTTATCATGATGATCTCTTTTTAGTTTATTTTTTCTCAACTATTTTGGTACCTTTTTTCCTCTATTTTATCAAAATCTGTCACTCTCTCATTACCAACTGAAGATCCACCCTTCTTTTACAGTGTTTTCAAATCTTGCTTTTTATTTTTTATTTTTTATTTTTTTTTTATTTTCACACAAAATCCCACAACGTTTCCATTTATTTTCCTTTTTTTCTTATTCTTCTTCCAAATTTCCACATCATAAAATTCCAAAAAAAAATTGGAAAAAAGAAAGTAAAAAAAATATGTGATTTGATGATCGAAAGCATTCTAAAAAAACAAAGCTATCTTAGAACCTCAAAAAGAATCCGAAAAACTAAAGGTGCACAACTAAAGACAGAAGAAGCGAATCTTATTCCCAAACGTTCACCCCGAATCAAACGACACGACGACCGGCGATAACACGATTAGCATCTGAACAAGTGGTTTCGTAAACCGGAAGTTCGTCGCAAAATGTACTACTATTCCCTAACAAGTCTAAGTGATCGAGCTCGAAAAGATCCGAACTCGAGTCACTGATCCCATCACAATTAGCAACATCGTTCACACAATCCCTAATTTCACCAATCACCGAAAAATCGTCCATCTTTTTGTTACCACTATACCCTTTCCTCTCATTTTCCACACCCACCTCGATTTTTCCACATTTCTCCATTTGGCTCCATTTCGACTCCCCCAATGCACTTACCGGTGCTCCGTGGGCCCCACTCCTCGTCTTCTCCCTCGACCCCAACGAGTACTTGCTGAGGCACGACCTTGGGCCAGCATTTTTCGACATTTTCCCACTTGCATTGGCGAAAATCGAGCTTATGAGGCTCGTCAGGCGCCCGCCGGGCGATACCGGTTGCTTCTTCTCCTTTTTCAAATCGGAGAACATCTTCAGGGCGGCGGCGGCCCGTGATTTTTCGTGATCGGCCCATTTGGTGTCGCGGGCCGGCAAGCGGGTGGTCCGGATGGGCTTGGGCCGGGTCGAGAAGCAGGACACCTTGGGGGCCGTTTGGGAGGCGAAGAACTCCGTGTCGGACGACGAGAGCGCGCCCGAGCTGTCGGAATTGGAGCTCGAGGTCGAGCTGAAGAACAACAAATCGCTGTTGTTTTCGGTTCTTTTGGGGTAGGACTTTTCGGTTTTGGCGTGTTGGATCCATTTCTCGACCAAACGCGCCCTTGCGAGGCTCGCTCTGACTTCATCTTCTATTATGTTGGTCTTAGCCCGACAGCCGCCCTGGTTTTTCGACGGCTTTCCTCTGTTCGCCGGGAAGTCTTCCGATTTGCCGTCGATCGAACGGTAGATTTCTTCGAGAAGCGCGGAGGAAAATGACGGCGTGTTCTTGTGGATGTTTCTTGATATGTTGTTGTCCAAAGAGTGCATTTTCATTTTATTCTTTTGGAATTTTGTTGAACTGAGGTTTTGAGGTTTGGGCTGTGTGTGAAGTGAAAGAAGAGAGAGTTTTTGAGAGGAATGTGAGAAGAGAGTGTGAACAATGGATATATAAAGGAGCCGCGGGTTCATCAGCACGCTGTCTCAATTTAAAGACTTGTATGTATGGGTTGTAATATGATAGCTTTTGAGAAAAATATGTTTAATCTAATAGTACATTGTGTTATCTTGTTGGGATCCCCCACTCCATATTATTCCGTTGGGATCATCTAGTAATTCTTTTAATTGTGTCTGTTGTAGTGTGGTCGTTTGAGTTGCTTTTCTAGCTTTGCTAGTTTAGGATTTAGGCGATCTTCGAATTGCCCTCCCAGTTTTACACCTTTGGTTGTATTATTCAGTTGTTGGCTGCTTTCTTTTCGCACTTTGTACGGTTTTAGTTATATATTACCTCTATCGTTTTTTTTTTAAAAAAAAAACTAGTCCATTGTGTGCAGCACATGCATAAATTACAAATAATAATAATAATAATAATAATAATAATAATAATAATAATAATAATAATAATAATAATAATAATAATAATAATAATAATAACAACAACATAACTTTTTATGTAAAAATAGCAACTAAAATAAAAAATAATTCAATAATATGTATCCCATTTATATTGAATTGTTACATTAACATTACTTATTACATTTTAGCTTAGTTTTTAGATTTTAATAATGTAATGGAAATATGAATTTTTTTATAAATTAATGACAATTTTTTATGAATATAGTGAATATTATAAATTTTATATACCTCAAGCTTATAGTAATAATAATCATAACAGTACCACAAAGTACAAAGAAAAAAAGATTGAATTTTGGTGTGTAAAAGAGCTTCGACTGTCAACTATTCAGCTTGTTCGGCCGTTGGCCGGCTGAGTGCTGGTTTCTAGTCTCGACTTTGTTGTGAATATATAATCTTCCTTTCGTTCCGGCAAAAAAAGAAAAAAAAAAAGACTAAAATTTGCTTCTAGACTGATTCAAAGATCTAATCCTGCAAATTGGGTCGGTAGGTGTTCTCAGCGTAGGGAACCGACAGTGGAGCGCCATGACGGTTCATAAAACGACCGGAAATTGACAAGTTGGGTGGGTTTAGGTGATGTTCTATTTATTTTGAGAGTTGTTTTTATGTTTATTGATAATTTTATAATATTTTTTTGTTAATTCAAAGTTGTGTATACGTTTCTTGGCTGATTTGTAAATAAGCCTATCTATCATAGCCCACCACTCCATCCCAAAAATAGTTGGGCCGCAGCCATGGGCCTACCACTTAGCCCAAAATTTCAAATCCTACGCCAAATTTCATTCGTTATTTTCGTGAAAAATTGACATCCCATGTCTTTATTCCTAGACTTTTTTCAAATTAGGACCTAATAACTATTTAGTCACTTTTACTCTTTTCATTTTCATATATACCCCCTTTTTTATTTTTGAATTTAATACATTTAAATAACTGCTGTTTTATTTTTTATTGGGCGGTTTTTACCTTTTGTTGTAGTCACGTCTTTTCTTGTCAGTTATCAAAAAACTGTCTTTTTTTCTTCTTTTCATCTTCCTATCAATTAATTGCTTGTGTGTTTTCAAAATTTTTATGCTTCTTCTCTCTGTTTTTTTATTTTCATCGATTTCTTATGGTTTTTACTAGATCAGCAGATCATAAATGTTCCAATCTTTTTGTTGAGTCTAAGAAAAGGAAAATTTCTGTTCAAAATCCATCTCGTTCTTCTTGTTCTCCGACAAATAAAATGCAAGGGAAAAGGAAGAAAGTTAAAGATTTTTCATCTTCTGATTATGTGTGTGATTCAGATTCTAACGTGGAAACTACTGATTCGGATGATTTCGTGTCCGACGAAGAAGATGATTCATGTCTTAGGCGAACTAAAAACCCTAAAAAAATGAGGAAAAAAAATAGGGTTTCGCGCTTGAAAAAAGAAGGAAAGAGGAAATATGTGAAACAGAAAAAATTTCGTCTCAACAAGCGTTCTCTTTTATCTGAAAATCTCGTTCCTCAGAGTCAATTGAAGGTATTTTTTTTTTTCATTTGTTTAAATTAGTTCCAGATTTTTTATTAAAAATTTCGTCTCAACAATTGTTCTCTTTTATCCGAAATCTCGTTCCTCAGAGTCATTTGAAGGTATTTTTTTTTTTGTTTCATTTGTTTAAGTTAGTTCCAGATTTTTTATATTTTTTTTTCTTTACAGGATTGGGACCTATTAGTAAAAGATTCATCCACTATTGGTTGTAGGCTTCCTAATTTTAATCGTTATGAAACGATTGAAACAATTAGGAACATGTTGACTGAATCCCAACTTGAAATTCTGAAAAAATCTTGCTTTGGGAAGTTTTTTCAATTGCCGTTTGTTACTGTTCAGTCTCAACTAGTTCATTTGTTGCTTCTTAGACAAGTCTTTCAAAAAAATTCCGATGAATTATGGGTTGATATGTGTGGGAAGATAATGCGGTTTGGAATTGGGGAGTTTTCTGTTCTTACGGGATTAAAGTGTGTTGGAGGTGCTAGTAAATTGCTTTATCAGTGTCCTGAAGATGGTTTGTTCAATAAGTTTTTTGCATCTGGTGGTCGTCTTACTCGTGAAGCTATTCGTTTGAAGTTTCTATCTCGTTGTTGGTCTAATGATAGTGATGCTGTGAAACTTGCTATCCTTCATTTTCTTGCCAATTATCTCATGGGTAATGAATTGACTGTTGGCTTTGATATGAACTATGTTGCTATCATTGATAGTGAAGATTGTAATGATTATCCTTGGGGCAAAGAGATATTTGAATATTTTATTTCGCATATTGTCGGGAAGATTTCTGAAACTAAGACTTCTGTTTACAATAAGTGTCGGGGTCTTATCGTTGTGCTTCAATGGTGGTTTTATGAAATTTGTAACAATGCTTCGGACTTATTTGTTTGAAAGATGATTCATTGATTTCCACGATTCCTCGGATGTTGAAGTGGAAGGCTGATAATTCTTTTGACCGTGAATTTCTTGTTAGAAAGTTCTTCTCCCTTCATCATGATCAGGTTATATATTATTTTTTCAACATATTTGTTTATGATTATATTTGATTTGTTGATGTTTTTGATAAATTATTTTTTCCTTTTTTTTTGAATGCTGATTGTGTTTTTATCTATATATATATATATTTAGTTCTCCAATATTGTTCCAACTGTGGAAGAGATTGAACGGCTGCATCTGGATAATTTTTTTA